AAAGTTCGGCTACTATTCTGACTTTGCCACTAATTGTTGTGTGACCTTGGGTAAGATATTTTCATTCATTTGCTAATTCATTCATTCATTCATCAAAAAGTCTGTTTCCATGTGGGTAAACCTGGTCAAATGAATCCCACACCTCTACACAGAATTGTTCTGAGGAATAAATGAAATAATCCATGCAAAATGTTAGGCATAACTATTGGCACTTTGTAAGTGCTCAATAAATGTTGGCTATTATTACTCTGAAGCCAATTGAGTAGGACAATAAATAAGCTGAATTCAACTAAAGGAAACCCAGTACCATATTCCTCAGAGATTTGGTTCGTCGATAATTCTGGTGTTATCAAATCAGATACTATTCAGCAATCACTACTGACTCTTGACCATTCTTGCCGAATGTGTGCTCTTCTCTTTTAAAGGAACTCTCTCCCAGGGAAAAGCAATGTCATCTCAGGTATTCGATGTTTGCTTTGGGAACAGTTTTCTACAGATCTCAGAAATGATGGCACCTGAGATTAGCCACTAGAGTACCCCGTTCCTCTCACTTCGATAGGGGCCTAGGCCTTATGTGGGACTGAGAATGGGGAGGAAGGGGGCCACATAAACAACACAGATACAAATAAAGCCTCACTGTGGTAAGACGGGACCAGACAAGTCTCCTCCAAGGAGAATGAAACCTGGACATTCAGGACAGCGGAACGCCGAGCCGGCGGGCAGGCTGGAGCAGAGAAGCCTCGGCAGCTCTCCCCGAGCCCCGGCCCGAAGCCGGGGCCGGGGCCAGGGCGGGGGTGTGTCGAGATGCTCCCCACCGGCCTGGGGCTGGGGATGGCTCAGGCAGGCCGGGGCTCCGCAGGCTTCCAGGAGGGGCCGAGGTGGGGGCAGGGGAGGGCTACGCGGTGCTCTGGGGATTGGGCAGGGAGAGAAGGGACGCTGAGGTCTCACCGCGGGCCGAGGGCAATGGGTAGAGCTTCTCGGCTTTCTGCAGGAAGCGCTGGGCCTTCTCGCGGTTGCCGGCGTTCAGGGCCTCCCGGGCGATCTCGACACATTTCTCAGCCTCATCCCTGTTCCCCTCCATAGCTTGCTCCTTCTTCCGTTTCCTCTCGCAGCGCAGCTAAGAGGGGCGGAAGCCGCCGCCGCGGAGGAGGCGAGGCGGACCGGCTGGGGGCGTGCGGCGGCCGGCTGGGAGGAGCGCAGGGGACCGCGGCAGCGGCGGCGACGGCCCGGGCTGACGGGCGGGCCTCGCAGCTCCGCCTCCTCACGGCGGCCTCCCCGCCCCCCGCGAGCCCCTAGGGTGCTAGCCGCATCCGTCCCGGCCCAGGACCAAGCTGCTGGGCCCGGACATCCGAGCTGACTTGGTGGTCCGCGCACGGCGCCGGTAGGCTAGAAGCTTACCTGCCCGCGAGGCGGGCAATGGCAGCCGGGCTGCCCATCGCGGAGTGGGGGGTTCCGCCCCGGACCCGATTGCCGGCATTGGAAGCGCCCTGCCCTGTGACCTCCGGGCACGGCCCTCGCAGATGGGGGCAGGAGGACGGGATGGCGGAAGGGGACACTCGTTTTCAGTTAATTTCCCAGGCTTGGAGGCCCCGCTTCTGAGCCCCTCAAGCGAGGGAGGATGCGGTCAGGTGAGGACCAAGGTGTCAGTCAGTCCAGTCTCAGCACTTCCGGGACATGTTAGAGCGTCGTTTGAACCTAATCTTAGGGCTTGTACGACAGCCTTATTTCAGCTGCACATTTTTTTCTGACCCAGATGTCAGGCTATCCAAAGAAGTACAAAGCAGTTTAATTTGTAGCTTGCAACGAGTGGTGCAGAGCGGCCCTAATCCTGTGTATTCAAAACAAGGGAGGAATCAGCCCCTCAAGTGTTGCCCTAACGAAAGCAAACTTTTGATTTCACCTTTTCCTTCCCATTTGGGTAACATTACCACTTGGAAGTACGGTGTCATGTTAGTCTTCACGGTGAGGGTGGGGGTGAATGTTATGTGCAGTTTTAATTTTTTTAAAAAACATGACAAACTGTGGAAACGATCTGCTCAACCCAACAAGGTAACGATTTTTACAAAATGCTGTGAGCCAAGCTGTTAATTCCAACTACCACCAGAACTCGGTACTTTCAAATAAGAAAGCCTGCTTCTCTTCAATAAAATGGAGATAGTATATCCCCAATGATGTTACTGAGCACTTAACAATTTCAATTTCAGACTTCAAAGCAGGCTCTAGCACGTAGCACTATTAGCTTCAGAGTTTAAATTCGGAGTTCATTATGTGGATATACAGGACATTCCTACCTATTCTCTCCCTCCCCAAGTCCACCACACTAACAGCATACTAGTGCAGTGCTGTCACACAGCAAGCAAAGTCAATGCACAAACTGAAATGCTCCCACTCCAGCTCCTGACAACTTTTTAAATTAAAACTTTAGTAGCTTATTATATAACATTAAAAATATATACTTGGTCTATCTCACTTTGTTGATCTAGATTTGACAGGTCAGTCACAAAGAAATGTGCTTAGTTATTGCTGCTAGATATTCAAAACAAATTCATATTACAATCAAGCCAATTTAATACACAACTAGTTTGGGATATGACCTTTATTGAGCTTATCCACCAGAGTGGAAATAATGTCTGTACAAAACCAAATGTTTGTTACTATAACTTCTGCATCACAATTAAAATCCAAACAGTTTTTTAAAAACAGTCAACTCAATCAAAACCCACTACTTCAGAATCAATAGCTTCTTTGAAGCCACAGTAACACTTAAATATGGTTAAGACTCGAATGCAGAAATTTGGTTGGTTGGAAAGCTAATTAAACTTCCAACTTGCTCAAATAGAATTACAAAAAGGCAAAATTGTGTTTTTCACAGAGATACAGTCCACTGGAATCACCAACACTGGACAGCTGTTAGAGTATTTAGAGTCCTGAGATAACAAGGAATCCAGGCATCCTTTAGACAGTCTTCTGTTGTCCTTTCTTCCCAATCAGAGATTTGTGGATGTGTGGAATGACACCTAGGAGAGTGACAGGAATTAATTCTACTTAAGATTTTTTTTTTAAAATCACAGTATTTGAAACCAAAAAAAGTATACTGTTCAAGTATCTTTAAAAACGTGCAGCTCAAGTATGAAGTAAAAATTCAGTTATACATATGAATCAAATTTCATGATAAAACCATACTTGCATCAATGAAAATATACTTAAATTTTCTCTTCTAGAAAAACTAATGAAATTAAAGCAGCAAAGAATTCCTTCCTCTGAAGAAATTTTTAAAAATTTTAGAAGTTAACATACCACCACCAGCAATTGTAGCCTTGATGAGCGAATCCAATTCTTCATCTCCACGAATAGCAAGTTGCAAGTGACGAGGGGTAATACGCTTTACCTTTAAGTCTTTTGATGCATTTCCTGCCAGTTCAAGTACCTAGAAGGCAGAATCTAATCAGTTCCCTTCCAACTTTCCTTTGGCCAAGATTCAGAGAACAGAATAAAACCCTCACAAACGCTTATCTACCAACTGGAGTCGTTCCCCACTATCTGACTGGCAAGATATACAGGGGGCACGCAATTTTAATTCCAAGAGCAGAGAACTCAAGCTCAGTAGGATCCTTGTTGAACAGCAGCTCCCTCTAGCGTTCTCTTAGGCCTCTCGCCGCGTTCAGGGCCTGTGAGTTTTCTTGCATCACTTTCCTCCTTCCCTCTTGCCGTCTCCCCGCCCCCCAAACCTTCTCCGGATTATAGGCGTTCACCCATTTACCTCTGCGGTGAGGTACTCCAGGATGGCTGCGCTGTACACAGCGGCAGTCGCGCCCACACGTCCATGACTGGTCGTCCTAGATTTCAGGTGTCGATGAATACGGCCCACTGGGAACTTAAATTTTAAGCATACACAAACATAAATGCACAAAAATAGGAGAACTAGAGATGGGGAAATTATATGCGCGCCAAAGCAAGTGGCACGGGCGCAGCAACGCGTCCCGACATCGAAACACGTGATTCCTCCCCCCCATATTTATCGTATGGGCAGCCCAAGTCGCGACACCGCATCACCCACGCATAGACGAAACGCCCATGGAGAGCGGTGAATAACAAAAAAGGAGATGCAAAGAAAAACATCACGACTCCCAGACCGCACGAACAACTACTGACCTGCAAGCCGGCTCTCTGCGAGCGGGAAACCGCCTTTGTCTTGGCCTTTCCGGAGTCCTTTCCAGCCTTACCGCCAGCCTGCGGCGCGCACACGCCCGCGAGCGGAGGAGGAACGGAGAATATAGAATTACCAAGGCGGCGCGCCCATCCCCCACCGCGGCGCGTCCCGCCGCGAGCGCGTCCCCGCACCCCGCCGGGGTCTCTGGCCCGCGGCGCGCCGCAGGGGCGACCCCGCCCGTCCGCCCCCCGCCGCGCGCTCGCCGCGGCCGCGCGCCTCCGCCCGCCCGCCGGCCCCCAGCGGCGCTGCGCGCGCCACCCAACCGTCGCCGCCCGCCGCGAGATCCGAGGCTGCTCCGCTAGCAGCCGACAAAACACCTCCCCCCGCTCTTCTTAATCCTGTCTCCGCGCGTTCCCAACCGTCGCCACTTCACCCCCATCCCCCGTGTAACGGGTTTTTCTCCCGCCGGCAAAAACCCGCGAAGTCATCGAGCGTCTCTGCGAAGTTTACCATTTCGAATTCTGCTGAAGCTCAAGCAAGCAAGGCAGAGAAAAGGCTAATCGGACCCACGGTGAGATCCCACCACCTACTCCTTCGTCGCACCGCGATTCAAACTGCGCTGTCTCCCGCCTTCCCTGCTCCCTTTATACTGCAGAATGTTCCCTCATCCGGGAACTCGGATTGCTCATCCCACCAATGGCTGCCACCCGCCCTCGGGACGCGTCCTTGAGACTTCAGCCAATGAGCAAGCAAAGAAAAGGGTGGAGGGGCGGGCGCTTCTAAGCTCAAGCCGCGATTGGGACGTGAGGAGCGAAGCGGGGGAGGGCGGAGGGATGGGAACGGGGGAGAAGAAGGGCACCGCGGCGGGAGGGAAGAAACAGAGCAAGCTACTCTGCGGGAGCGCAGTTACCAGCCAGCTGCGGTCACGTGCCGGGGAGGAGGAGCTGAGACCTCAGGGGAGGGGCGCGCGGTAGCGCCCCGGGTCCCCTAGCAGGGCTTTGGAGACCACGTGAAGTCTCGTCCGTATCTAGCACGCAGCCCCCACCGCTCCCAACCCCACCCCCAGCGCCTCTCGGGCGGAGACCTGCGACCTGCAGCCGCCTTCCGGGGCCCCGGGCACCCTCTCCCGACCCTCTCAATCCCTGGCGGCTCTTCCAGTCTGACAGGTGGCGCGAACGCGTCCAGTGAGGGGAGGCTGAGGTTTGCCCTGACGCCTTCCTCAGCCTTAGTAGAGATTCCGTGTTTCTTCCCTCTAGGCGAATCCCCAGTCACCAACAACAGATCAGGACGGGTTGCTCCCACTTTATTTTCAGCCGGGTCTTCCACCTCTCCCTCACTACTTATGAAATCCCCCACGGAATAGTTCTGTAACAGCAAACGGTGAAGCCAAGTCACCTCACTGGTCACGAAACCCTTTTTGTTTACACTTAAGGAGCTTCTGGCGAGGCAGTATTCTTAAATCATAAACCGTATTTTTTGGAGACTACACATCAATGAGTTGTACCTGTAGCCTGATGTGTAAAGCTCATTTAGTGAAACCTCAGAGCTATTATGTGTCAACTTTTCTACAATAAATATTTTGCCACATGACAAATGTTCGGCAAATGTCGACGGAGTAACTCTGACATGATTCACAGGCAGTTACAGAGGGTCGGTGCAATGCAATCAACTGCAAATGATGAGGTTAAAATAATGATACTGTACACACAGTACTATCCTTCCAACTAGTAGATTATTAACACCTACGTATATCTCCAGCTGCTTGGGGACAGTAGTGTCTCAATCTCATTTGTAGTGTTTTAGTGCATTATACTTTTTAACATAACTGAATAGTTTCAGTGTGATGAACGTTTTGAAACATATGCTCTAGGCCAGGTGTGGTGGCTCACACCTCTAATCCCAGCACTTTGGGAGGCTGAGGCGGGCAGATTATGAGGTCAGGAGTTCCCGACCAGCCTGGCCAACATGGTGAAACCCCATCTCTACTAAAAATACAACAATTAGCCAGGCGTGGTGGCACCCACCTGCAATCCCAGCTACTCCGGAGGCTGAGGCGGGAGAATCGCTTGATCCCGGGAGGCAGAGGTTGTGGTAAGCCAAGATCACGCCACTGCAGCCTGGGCAACAGAGCAAGACTCCTTCTCAAAAACAACAACAACAACAAACATATACTCTGAAGTACTTTAGATTGGGTTTCAATTGGAAAGATTTTATTGAATCAGAGGACCTCCCAATTTCTGTGAGATAAATTCTAGAGAAGAACTTCCCAAGGATTTTGACATTGAGGTTTATTATTTCTTGGAACCAAGGAACTGTTACGATGTCGATAGCAAGAGTTCATGAACCGTTTTCCTACTGATGATGTAATGATGATATATTAAGCTACAAAACCTGATATAATAGTTAACGATGGCTCCAGGGAAGCTTTGTGATATATAACAAACCAACATTAATGCCATGTCTAGTTTAGATAATACTCTGCCAGCTCTTTGCTGTGAAGCCCAACAAAAGGAATTTACTGTTGCCTCGCTGAATAGTGGTTAGAGGATGAACTCAGAAGCAAGTAGAGATGAATTCTGTTCTGCCTCCTCCTCACTGTGTCATCTTAGTTACTAATCTTTCGGAGCTTGGAGTTCCTCTTCTGTGAAAAGATAGTATCTATTTTCACATGGTTGAAAGATTAAGGGAAAAGGTATGCAGTGTACATGGTAGCATGTGTTTGGCACATAGTTAGCCCTCAGTAAATAACTGCTATTATTTTCTACATTGGATGGTGGAGAGGGATGATATAAAGTATCTTTTATTTCTATTCAAAAATCTTTTTTGCTATTTGGTGTATTTTCTTTCTTCGATGTGGAAGCAGCAAGCTTGAAACCTGCCCAAAGTATACACAACCAAGTCATCCAACATCCAAACTAAAATCCGAAATTGGTTTAATAACTCAATAGCTTTCCTTCAGAGAACAGGACAGTATTACTTTCTGCACTTTTCTCAGAGTGGTGCGATGGTTTCCTACTCTCTTTCCTACCCCCTGGAAAAGGTACGATGCAAATATGTTAATATTCTTGGTGTATCTTTCCAGTTCTTGTGTTAATGGTAATACGTGTATATAATATACCTAGCCAGAGCTATGTAATTATTTTTGTTTAATGCCATACCCAATTAGTTCTCTTGCCATAAAAAATATGGGATGTCAGGGCAAGAGGATCACTTCAGACCAGTCTGGGCAACATAGTGAGACCCATCTCTACTAAAAATACAAAAATTAGCCATGCATGGTGGCCCCTGCCTGTGGTCCCATGTACTCGGGAGGCTGAGATGGGAGGACCACTTGAGCCCAGGAGGTTGAGGTTGCAGTGAGCCATGATTGTGCCACTGAAATCCAGTCTGTGTGATAAACTGAGACCCTGTTTCAAAAAAACAAAACAAAATCCTAATAGGAGGTAGGCGAACCCACTATTATTGAATCTTTCCTTAATAGCCTTTTCCTAACTAATCTAGATTTTCCACGACTAGTTACTATCTCCTCTGAAACACTAGCATGTATATTAACTACTGTTGTTCTTGTCTTTTTATGTAGAGAATTTGAGACTCTTACACTTGGGAATTACAAATTTCTCAACTACATCTTGCTTTAAAAACCTATTTTTAAGAAAATATGAATAAGTTCCCCAGTTATTTCCAAGGATATTAGCTTAGATCAAAAATGGCAAAATTCTTCTCATGAGGAAATCCACATTAGAATCTTAGTTCTCTCTACCTAGGGCATCTAGGAAAAATATGTGCCTTCAAGGATTCACACAGCTGTGAATAACTGAGTTCCAGTGTGGTATTATGCAAAATATTGACCTAGAGTAAAAGAATTAGGGTTGAGTTTGGGTAACCACTTACTTGCTATATGGCCTGAAGTGTGTTAAACACTGAAGCACTGTTTCTTCATTTATTAAATAGGGATTCATAGCATCAGATAAACCAACTTGATAGAATTGTGACAGAGTTTCATTAAGTGTGAAGAATATGTAAAGTGATGTAATAATATTTTTGGCCCCAAAGCCATAGTCCTTCCTGAATTCTGTTTAGATTGAGAAGCCTGTGTGTTTAATTCAGTGTTGATAAAACCAAAGCCATCGATTTAAATTCCAAATTGCCCAGCTTTGCACTTCTCATGATCACAGATTGCACACAGGTAATGATTCACAAATGCAGGGAATATATTACAAAGATCAACAGAATCTGCTCAACCCAGATCCACTGCCATTTCAGGAAGAACAAAGATCATGGGACCCAATACCCATTTTAATATAGCACTAACTTACTTTTTCCATACATTAATCCTCAGAATTTTTGGAAATTTATTGTTTTAAAATTTTAAAAATCAAGATTCTTATCATATTATCCTTTTATTATCTATTATCGATATCAATATTTATCTTTAGGATTTTCGGGGCAGGGGAAGGGAGTCCATGTGTTGAAATTGTTTTCCTAAATAATAGTGTATTTGTCTATGCAGTGGGTCCTCCTTCTCTGTATCCCTGTGTTCTACATTTGTGGATTCAACCAATTGAGGATCAAAAATATTCACAACATAAGCTGGGTGTGGCCAGGCGTGATGGCTCACAGCTGTAATCCCATCACTTTGGGAGGCCAAGGCAGGTGGATCACTTGAGGCCAGGAGTTTGAGACCAGCCTGATCAACATGATGAAACCCTTTCTCTAATGAAAATACAAAAATTAGGCATGTGTGGTGGCGTACATCTGTAATCCCATTTACTCTGGAGGCTGAGGCATGAGAATTGCTTGAACTTGGGAGGCAGAGGCTGCAGTGAGCAGAGATCGTGCCACTGCACTCCAGCCTGGGTGACAGAGTGAGACTCGGTCTCGAGAAAAAATAATAATAATAATAAGTTGCGTTTGGGGTGTGGCGGTTCATACCTGTAATCCCAACAATTTGGGAGGCTGAGGTGAAAGGATCGCATGAAACCAGGAGTTCAAGACCAGCCTGGGCAACATAGCAATTCCCTGTCTCTAAATTTTTTTTTTTTTCAATTAGCCAGGCATAGTGGTACACACCTGTACTCCCAGTTCCTAGGGAGCCTGAGGCAGGAGGATCCCTTGAGCCTAGAAGTTCAAGGCTGCGGTAAACCATGATTGTACCACTGCACTACAGCCTGGGTAACAAAGCAAGACCCTGACTTTCTCTCTCTCTATTTTAAAATTTTAAAAAGTATGGTTGCATCTGTACTAAACATATACAGACATTTTTTTCCCGTAATTTCCTAAACCATATAGTGTACCAACTATTTACATAGCGTAGGCATTGTAATGGATATTCTAAGTAATCTAGAGATGATCGAAAGCATATAGTGTGCATATGTTATAAGCAAATACTACTATGCCATTTTATGGAAGGGATTGAGCACTCATGGATTTGGGAATCCAAGCAGCGGGGGGTGGGGACAGATCCTAGAACCAATACCCCACAGATAAAGATACAGAGGGATGATTGTATTAGTATTTTGATACTTATCTCCACAGCTAAATTATAAATACACCCACTAATGCCCCTATTGCATATTTCTTACATAGTGACCAAGGAAATTGTTGTAGAGATTTAACACATTTTTATTACTGTATTGTCTTCTTTTGTCTGTATATATGCAACTGAGATGGAAGGCAATACCATACATTATACCGCATGATACATAACCATTCCCTAATAATAGAATATATGATAGCACTAGATTTGTGCTGTGAGCCTGTTAGGTAAAATAGAGCATATCCATCAAGTCACTCTACTTTCCAGGCAATACGCCAAGCAATAGCAGTTGGGAGATGGGATATATAGTGCTTAGGAGCCTCCCTTAATCTAGCTAAGAAGATTAAATGGGAGGAATATTCAAACAATGTCTTAATCATTAAAACCACATTAAGAAGGCTGTTACAGGCTGGGTGTGGTGGTTTATACCTGTAATCCCAGAACTTTGGGAGGCCAAGGTGGGTGGATTGCTTAAGGCCAGAGGTTCGAGACCAGCCTGGCCAACATGGCGAAACCCTGTCTCTTTTAAAAATGCAAAAATTAACGGAGCATGGTGGTGCATGCCTGTAATCCCAGCTACTCGGGAGACTGAGGCATGAGAATTGCTGGAAGCCAGGAGGCCAAGGTTGCAGTGAACAGAGATCATGCAACTGCACTCCAGCCTGAGTGACAGAGTGAGACTGCCTCTAAATAAATAAATAAATAAATAAGAAGGTTGTTACAAAATAAGTCCCTGATTGGCTGCCAAATCAACAGTACCTCTACTTTAAAGGACAGAGACAACTGCAGGCTGGAGCATTTTGGAGAGTTTATGTTTAAATGGACTAAGGAGAGCTTTTGACTGGAATGGTGAATTGGTGTAAGAAGTAGCAGTTAGAAGGTAGATATGGCAGAGATTTCTTTTTATAATCATATGTCCATTTTTCTATCAACCTCAGTCATAAAACTTCCAATTTTTAGCTGGACACATAGTGTTTTAGTCTGTTTTGTGCTACTGTGATGAAATACCTGAGACTGCATAGTTTATAAAGAACAGAAATTTATTTCTCACAGTTCTAGGGTCTAGGAAGTC